ATCTTTAAACTTTGTAATTACTACATAATAAATTTTGGTAGAACAAACAATGCTTTCCCCCTTTTTCCTATAAATGCTTTCTTTGATTTCAGGTAAGGCTTTTCCCCCTGAATAATGTAATTGCATGGTTACTATAAATACAACTTAAATTGTAAAAGGAAAAGGTATATATCTTGCACTCTCTCTCCAATTTGAGCAGGGTATGTTTAATGCATCCCAATTCTGTTACTTTGTAGCAGTTTAAAAACTGTCTCTAGGGTTTAAAAGGAAGAATGCTAAATAAAACTAGCATAGCTGCTGGCCTTCAAAGCAGAGTCATTTTGATAGAGGATGAAAAAAGCCACAAACTGGGAGCTGTTCACTGGGGTTGGGGGTTGACTCCTCACTTATTGCTCATGAGGCTTTGCCATCTCATTATAATCAAACATTTTATCATTGAATTTAAACAGAAACTGTTTTCACAGGTTCTATATTTCTTTTATGAATATTAACAAAAACAAATGCTTGATATATTTAGAAAACTCTGCTAAGTATCTCTGCATAAATCAAGAATCTACATTTTGAGCATATAGTCCTGCTTTGGATAAAATTCATGTCTGAAATAAAAAAAGGAAGTCCCAAACAAACAAACAAAAGCAACGACCCAACTTTTTCCCATTTATTCATACTACAGTACAGATGTTTCCTTAGATATTAGTCACCTTCCTTTGTTAATTTCTTTTCTTCTTCTTAAACTGATATATGAAAATGTTTTTTCAGCTAGTGAGCATGATTCTCCAATCTCTACCTTTTATGATGTCAGTGTTGCTCGAGAAATTTGTTGTAGCATATAGAAAACCAGAGCTTATTGTCTTTTTTATATTTTTTCATTCAAAGATTACCACAAAGAAACTCACACTGGTAGTCTCAGGGAGAACATTGTCTTTGTTTTATGAATGTATTTTTAAGCTGAATCTCTTATCTTTTAAAAGCAAGAAAAAAAAAGTTTGAGTTATTTGAATAAGGTTCTAGTTAGCATATACAAAGGTCTTGAACTTTAATATTTCATCTGAAGCCCTAACTACATCCTTTTTTTGCTATATGCACAAAGATAAATACCCAGATGAAGATACTTGCTAATTAAAATGAGTTTTATATGTAGTATATGTATAAATGAAAAATTTGTATGTTTTCATATAAACAATATAAAAATCTTCTAAATGCACATTTAAAAACTTCTATCTTATAATTCAGCTTGAAAATGCCACTGAAAGCTGTATTCTGGTGATGCTGCCATGGATTAAAGATGTATACAGCAGATTTTCGGTAGCTGGTGGACTCAACTGTAGGTATATGCAACTTTTTAATTTTAGAAGAAAGCCATATTGGGCAAAATGTCAGATTTCTTGGCTGTTACCCAAAATAAAATTCACTAGATCATTTTGTTACAATGTTCTGAAGTGAGTGTTGCGTATTTTTTCTTGCATGCTTTGCAAGGGATCAGCCTTTTTCTCCTATCCTCCACTTCATTTGTGCATTTTTACATATGGAATGAATAACTGAACACTAATACAAAGATGATAATATCTACATTTACCTATTCAGTAAAAGGTGTGCCCATTGTTTTTTTACTAGTAGGCACCTGTCTTTCAGAATGGAGAAGAAAGTTAAGAAGGACACAGTTACTTTGTCTGCCACAGTCAGCAGCTGTACCACTGCCAAATCAGTCTCTTCAAACCAAACACCAAAAAAAAAAAAAAGCCCAAAACCAACCAGAAGAAATTTGGAAAAAAAAATTTATTTTCTACCCAATGGCATTGAGAAGTCTGTAAAATGTATTCCTAAAAGAAGTTAATATCTGGATTTTGGGATTAATACAGTAACTTGGATGATCACTGTGCTATTGTGCTCCTGATCTTTGCAGTATCTGGTATTCTGGAAAAAGCTAGAAGTGTCCATATTTGTGAGTCCAGTCAGTTGTGCAGAGAATTCTGCAAAGTCTCTGCTCACACGTGTGCAGTGTTTCCAAGCTCAACAGACAACTCTGAGTAAGGAGGTACAGAGTTAGCATAAAGTGGCATAGTATTAGTTACAACAGTGGGAAAGTCTTTTGGCTCTCAGGAACTCTCTCTGCACTTTGACACATCAAATCTCATTACCAACACTTAGTGTAACTAATTCCCATGACCCTTTAGTTCTATGTAGAAAGAACAATAAAAGGTCAAAGAGAAAACAAGGACATAATATTTCAATCTTTACTGTCTTTTCCTATGGAAGAAGGAATAGACTGTACTTGATATGGGGCAAAATGCAGAAGATTTCTACATTTCATCAGAACATCATTGTAAAAATCAGTCTTAAGGGCAGGTTTGACACGGTCTGGATTGCTCCATGGTACATCTGTGATAAGAGTTTGAATGCCAGTGAATTTTCCAGTTCAGGAGAAAACTCCTCTAGCCAACCCTTCTGACACAATCTCATAGCACAGGGAAGAATTATGTCCCAAGAACTGCATGGCTTTTTTTTGCAGCAGGAATTCCACCCAGAAGGTATACTTGGGGAAAAAAAATCCCAAAGATTGTTGAAAACCAAGCTGCAATCAGCACCAACGTGGAAACCACTTTATCATATTGACTGGCTTCCCTTTACATCGTTTCAGTTACTTCAGCATGTGTGTACTACATTTTCCTCAGACTTCAAGGAAAACACTAGTCCTAAAAGAAGCACTGGCTATAAATTACGAGTCCATAGCATTGAGTTTTTAACATTCTTAGACTAAATAAATTTTCACATCTGTTTTTCTCATGATCTGTTATTTTCTTCTTATTTTGGAAGAAAAAACTTAGATTGTTTTCTAACTGGTTTGAGTTAAATTAAATTTAAATGTCTTAGATTTGTAGTCTTTGACACTTTAAAGAGTAAGAATATGCATTATAAAACTGAAGAATATAGAGTATTTAGTATTTTTTCTTTTTAGGATACCTATTGTCTTTTCTTCATAAAACGTTTTCTATAATGATGCAAGAATCTTTGTTTTCATTCTCAAAGCAGAATTTAATTTTTCACTCTTGATGTTGGTAGACTCTGGAACTAAACTTTCCTGCTTTTTGAGACTAGAAAGCCCTTTCCACAAAGGACCTTCTTTGGGAGTTGCATTTCAAGACTGAAAGCAGCAGTTTTGTGGGAGACAAATGCTTCCATTCCCATAACTGAACATGGAGGGATTCTGAGCCCATGTTGCAGCACTTGCCTTTCTGCTGTGGCAGCTGAAAAAAATTGGGCTCCTTTCTTTTCTCTAAATTATTAACAAATACACTATCCCAATATTAGCTTTTGACCAATGGTCATACCATTTTTGCCAGTTTTAGTCTTAGTCTGAAACTATTTTAAAACTATAGGATATGAGGCATTCCTAATGAATATCAGGAGACTTCACTTGTAATACTAGAAATCAGACCTGATTGTAACATCAGAGTAACCCCTTGCTTGTTAAAGGTGTATTTTAAGCTATATGTAAATTTTGTTACATGATCTCAGTGCTATCTGTAGGCAATTTCACTAATTCTGTACTGAGAAAATTAGACCCGAAGTTTTTCTCCTTTGCTGTACTTCCCTTAGAAGGAAAAAGACTGTCCCATCACTTAAGAAAATGGAGATCATTAACCTCCTCTGCAGTCAACAGGCAGCTTCAGTGATGAATCGTCCCACTTATCTCTTGATTACATAAAGATTGTAGAGCAACAGCAAACATTAAGTGTCTTGGTTGCCTAAATTTAAGTATGAGGAATCCTAGCCTGCCATGGTATTTGACTTTTTTTTTAACCAACATTTGCAAAAATATATCATCTTTGAAAGACACAAACTGACTGTCCTTACAGGAGCTGTGTTGCTTTTCTTCATGGTAAGTTCATAGTCCAATACAGCACTGTTGCTGTTCTCCATAGGCAAATGCTAGACTTTTTTTTTTTTTTTACTACAGTGAAAATTTGTAGTATTGTTGTTTAGCTACTTTTGGGTGTTGGGCATTGTATGAGTTTTATTTCTGCACACATTCCCTGGCAAAATCTTTAAATGGAAATGACTAATTAACATGTACAATTATATACAGAAATCAGCTTGCAGTTCTAAAAATTATTTACTTTGCAGTGTATTTGTGTCATGTAAATAAACATCCATTTCTTAGGATACATCACAGTAATTGGACCTGTGGATAGTACTGGACAGTGTAACAAAACCAGGCAGCCAAGCTGAAACAAGTTTTTCTCTTTGTCTGACCAACTGCTGAACTCCATTTCTTGTTTTAACAGAACTTGTTATTTGCTGGGTTCAACATTGGGCTTTTCTATGGCACAACTGTGTTAACGTTTCTAATTTTCAAGCACATACACTATTAGATAACTCAAGCTTTGCTGACCGCACAAATTGTACTGCAAGTTCCCAGGTTAATAGTGGGACCTAATGAGGTGAACTACTGATCCACTATGGAGTCCTGCAGGGTCTTAAGGATGAGTTTGTAAATTGTCTGTCACTAAGGCAACTCACTTATTTTCAGAGTTGAGCACAGTATAGTGGTCTGTTCGCAATAGCTGGTTGAACATAACGAGAAGTAGCTGCTGCCAGTGGCACTGATAGCAGTGTTGCTGGGGAACATGAAGAGTTAAGCTTAAGAAAACAAAAGCATAATTCAATAATGACTACCAAAATCTGGCTTCATTACAACAGTGAGTTCTCTCTGACCTTAGCAGGCCTTCCACAGTCAACCTGACAGATGAACAGAAAAGTTTAGAGAGTGGCTGATTCTTCACCTGGAACTACAGCTGTTTAACTTCAGTCATAGATTACCTGTGTGATGGCTGGGCACAAAGCAGAGTCAGCACACTTCAGGCTGACTGAACCACCACAGGCAGCCTCACCCATGGCTGGCAAGAGACACGCTTTAGGGCAGAGCCTGAAGCCCAAGTTTTACAGCTACGTGAACATCCAAACATATTCACACTGCTTAGACTAAATCTTTACCTTACCTATGGGATTCACGAGCCCTTCTCAGCTCTTTTGCAGCCTTGCTGGTACTGCCCCAATTGCACACAAATGAGATGTGTACCAGCCACACCGACCACAGTATTATGGGCAGTTCTTGTACTCTCCTGGGACGTACCCATATTGAGGGCACACACTATGTTCTGTAAAACTGATAAACAGAGGAGTTTTAAGTCTTTGTCTCTTTCTTTATTACCACACAAGACTATCAGAAGTGACCTGAAAGCAAAAACAGTAGTACAGATTTATGCAGGAGAGCCATTCCAAGCGGAAAGCAGAGACAAACTAGGAAAGCATTCCGAGCTCAGAACAAGAGAGCTTTTCAAGCTGGTAACTGCCAGCACTTCTCCATCCACTTGTTTGAAATAATTACTTTTTCCTGTCCTATTTTGCACCATGATTTCAAAAGAGGCTACTCATGGATTTTCAAATGGGCATAATATATTTTTTGATGACTTCTTGTTGAGTAAACATTTCTTCATTATTCAGCTAAACACATACCAGTTACTGGTTATTATTAGATAATAATAGGATGATAAATAACTTTCAAGGGTTTTTTGTAGGAGCCACTACCTGATTGCAGCCTTTACATACCAGCATCAGCTACTTGCTCTTGTAGCTGCCCGAGTTGCAGGCTGCTGCATTGTTTTTCATACTACTCTAGTTGTTTAAGCTACAAAATGCAGTCTGAGGAAGCACACATGGACACCTCCAGTAAATCACAAAGATGACACCTCTGCCATACCAGAAGCCAAGTAACTGTGCTAACAAATATGCAGCAATAACTGAGTCTTATCTTTAGGAAAAAAGCAGCCAGGCTTTCTACCTTGCAAGACAGCACTATAAACCGAGTAAAGCTGATACTGAAAGCACATACTGGAGACAGGGCTTGTTTTGAATTTTCACAGTGATCAATTTATATATTAAGTGCAGATCTCAGCAGTGCTTTTGCAACCATATCTATTAAATTTGTTACAACAGGACCATTTTATAAAGACCAATGTATTTTTCTTCTAGAGACATACCCAGGAATTAAAACATTTCCTCTTTATAACCACCTGAAGCAGTCTTAGACTTTTACTGTAAACACTATTTCCTTCAGGTAAGGATTTAGGAAACATCTACAGATAGCCTGGAGAAGAATGTATTTGCAAACAATGCAGGAGAGGTAACTGAAGTTCCATCCACAGGTTCACCCAGCAGGAGTTAGATGCAGAAGTCCTCTGCCAATAGCTTGTGAAGTAGCAATTCAGAGAAATGTGATTTGTAACTTAAACCACCTGTAAAGTTCCACACGAGGATGAACTCATGGATAGTGAGATATTCAATATAGTCAAGAGGTGAACCACTGCAGCTTTCTTATTCATTAAGATAACACATTTAAATATGACTTGGAGAAAAAAACCCATGTTAGACATTCAAATTAACTTAGTTTTATTAGGGCTGGTAAGGCAGTTACTTTACGCATTGAAGTCATACATCATAACATGAAAATAAGGGATCTAAAGTTTATTGGGGTTTTGGGGTGGGGGGGTTTGTTGTTGTTGCGGTTGGTTGGTTGAAAAGTGTTGATTTTTCTCTCCACCAACCCTAAAAATATTAAAATACAAATTTTGTACATTTATTAGAGAGCATATGTTGGTGATATTGTAAAACAAAAAGTGTTCTAAATGAGCAGTGATTTTTGTTTTGATTGTTAGGATTCTTCACCACTTTGAAGTTACGCAGAGATTAAGTTATGCTCTGTGATGTTGCAAGACTTGAATGGATGTATAAGAATGATACACAAATACATAGTCAGAGGTACCAAGAAAATATATGTAGTAATTCAGAAGACAGTCTGCTTACACTGAACCCAATGAGGACAGAACTCAAACATGCAAGCACAGCTGTTGTTAGAAGTGTGCACACGTGCTGCAAAGTAACTGTAGGAAATAGACATGCTGCTGGAGAAACTGGGAACCAGTTTCACTCCTTATGCTTGGAACACAATTTTGAAACAGAATCAATTAACAGACAAAATATTTCAAATAGCTAAAGCATGTCACTGCGTCGCTATACACGATGGGGGGGGAACAGAGGTACGAAATTTTCATAACGACATTGGGCAAAAGCGAAGCCTCCAGCAAACCCTATTTTCTGGTTATATTAAAAATATAATCTCTAAACTCCTCAGACTTCGAGGGAGGGAGAAATGGCTGGTTTGTTATGCAGTCCACTTTTTAAGAAGCCAAATTTAGACTTTGTGGTGCCTGTAAACCGCGGGGGACGACTTGCAAAATGCAGCTCCAGCTGCCTGGGGGCTGCTCCTGCCGCACAGCCCCCCTTCCGCCTCTGGTACACAGGAGCAGCGCCTCTTTACAGCGAAGGAACAGAGACATTTAGGCAAACAACAAAGTGCGGCACTACTGGAAGAAGAACCCGTAGGTGGATCTGTTGTTCCCCAGAGGCCGAGCAGCTGCAGTGTTCCCCGAGCCCATGGAGCGCTGACTGGCGCGGAGCCGGGGCCCACCGCCCCTCAGCTGCTACCAGGAGGGCCGGTTCTCCCGCCGCCGCTGAGGCATCCGAGGGAAGCGCCCCCGGGCCCGCCCGTGGAGCGGCGCGGAGGGGGCGGGGACGGAACCGCTCCTCCCGCCGGTGAGGGAGCTGCGGTGGCGGGAACCCGGCCGGAGGGGCGGCGGGGCCCGCTGCAGGTACCGAGCGGGAGCGGGGCGGCCGCAGAGCTCCGCCCGCCTCCGCCCGGCGGGCACGGGGCTGACGCTCGGGGCGCACTCACATCTCGCGCTGCGCGGCAGCGGGGCGGCACGGGACGCGCTTGGGGCAGCGCTCCGCAGGCGGGCGGGAGGCAGCGTGCTGCCGGCCCGGCCCGGCCCGGCCCACCCCCGCCTCGCCACCGCTCTACACCTGCCGTGCTGGCGGCGGCCGGCTGCGCGCTGCGGAGAGCCCCGCCTCTGCCACCGCCTGGGACGGGGCGGACACGCCGCTGCTGCTTCCTCTTCCTCTCATCACCCACGGAGCGACGGAGCGGGTGCCCTCGCGGTTTCGCTTTGTGGCATTAACGGGAGGAGCGCCCCGCCCGCTCCCCGCCCGCTCCCCGCCCGCTCCCCGCCCGCTCCCCGCCCGCTCCCCGCCCGCTCCTCGCCCGCTCCTCGCCCGCTCCTCCTGCCCCGGCGGGCGGGCGTGACCCACTGAGGAGGCGGGGCGGGTTGGCGGGTTGGCGGGAGCCGGCAGTGAGGGACTGCAGGCGGCTCCGTCCCGGCCCCCGAGCCTGGCGTGGCGCCGGGCAGCAGTGGGTCGGAGGTGCCACTGTAACGAGGTGCCGCTGCCCGAGCTCCTGAGCCGCGCCCCGCTCTCGCCCGGCTCCGCCATGGGCTTCCCCGAGAGAAAGAGAAAGTTTCCCGCTCGGCGCCTGCCCGCACCGGGAAGCCTCGCTGTGTAACCTCTTCCCCTCACCTCGTCCCCGTGTAGGCGCAACATGGTGCTGAGCGCGGACCAGGTGGCCCTCATCGGGCAGGTGTTCGAGTCCTACGTGCTGGAGCACCACAGGGACGACATCCTGGGCATCCTGAGGGAGGCGGACGACCAGGCGCACTACCCCGTCGTCGTCGATGCCTTGACGCTCTTTGAGACCAACATGGAGATCGGGGAGTATTTCAACGCCTTCCCCAGCGAGGTGCTCCCGATTTTCGACAGCGCGCTGCGCCGGGCTGCCCTGGCAGCGCTGCAGGACACCGCGGACCCAGCACAGCTCAGCCTGAAGCAGAACCTCCACGCCAGGGTCTCGGGTGAGTGGCGGGGCAGGGACTGCGGTGTGCTGCATCTCCCAGTCAAGTTTCCTTACTCTGGTACAAACTATCGGGGTGCCATGGGAATGAGCAAGTTAATTCTTGCCGTTTCACTGTTTGAAGCAGCAGGGAATCCTTAGTGTCTATTAAGCAGGAAAGAACACGTGCAAATACCTGGAGGTGTGTAGACCAACCCAAAATAAAGCTGTGGCCTGCAAGTGGCCACTGGCCTGCATGCAGTGGTTGGCATTTGTTGGGTCAGGGCTTATACTAAAGCCTTTCCGTGGCAAAGACTCCTCACATCAGCAGCTGGTCTTACATTATTTCTCTTCTAGACAGAAGGTCTAAAGAAAAGTTTTAGGGGAAGATATACAGTTTGTAAGTTTAATTGCAGGTTGACTTCGCTACTGTGCCAGTTGGCTCATCGTCTTTTTTGTCTCCAGCCACCTCCCAGAAGAGGCAAAGTCAAAATTTCGAGTTGTCTTGTAACAATTCCATTTGAAATTGTCGAATGTTATGCTTAGCTATAATAAAATTGCTTGTTATAAAATTGGAATGAACTGTTGAAAGGCATAATCGTTAACAGGGAACTTTGTCATTATTTCCACTTCAAGTTGATATGCCATTATTCCTTATTATTAAGAAATTTCTAGTAGCTTTGAGGGCTGGTAAGTGTAGAGTGCAGATTCAGGAGCTGAAATGTCTGTTTTGCCTGCTGTGGGAGACTGGGTCAGGGCACCATCCCTTCTGATTATTTCTGGTCATAACTATTTGGAGCAATAGTCCGCAAAGCCAAGAGCTGGCAGCCTATGTTTCCCTCCCCTGCCCTCTTGTGGAGTGGATTGTGATCATTCAGTCTTTTGGCATCTTGAACTTGGATAAATCACAGTTGTTAAATAGGCCCATGTTTCATTCCAGTAAGTTTCAATAAAAATGTTGTAATGAAAACACATACATCAGATTAGCCTGTGACTCTCACAATGCTATTTTTTCAAGATTTTTAGAGGGAAAGAAGTTAAAAAAAACAAGGCTTGCTACCAATTCAGGTGTTAAGGAGCTTGTACACAACTGCTGAGTACATAGTGTATGGCCTCTGTGCTGTACTGAAATTTGTCATTGGGCATCTCCCTGTACCTATGAAAGCAGGAATGAATTAAAACTTTCCTCCTAGTGTTCTAGAATGCATTTGCATCATTCAGGGCTTCAGCATGAGAAAAAGACTCCAAGTAGGATTATTTTAAAAGCTACCAGAAAGTATTAGAAGGGGCAGATGATCACTGCATGAGTAACGGTGTCTTTAAGACATTCCTGCTCTTGTTATCAGCATGTTGCTGGAGCTGATCATTCCTCCCACAGTGATGTTTTGTCTGAATATTCCCTTATAAACCTCAGGTAAAATTAGCAACGATTGATCAAGTAGTTTTAATAACTGATAAAAGCAAGCCTGACAGAAGAAATTAGCAGATTACAAATAACCCCCTCACTAAGCTGGAGGGAAATTGATGAAAGGGGGGGTTATCCTTAAGTGGTCCAGCTGGATCAAAATAACATCTGTCCACGTAGTTTAGTTAATGTTCTGTACCACCGAAAGGCTGGCTTCGGAAGAAATAGAAGAAATAAGCTAAGGAATCTGTAGCCTTCTTTCCACACCAATTTTCTTTCCAATGATACTGTTACCTTTTAAGTGGATTCTGGGTTTTGATTACCTTCGGGATTCTCCTCTTGGAGTGCCACTTCCCATTCCTACATTAGATGAGAAGGAAATGAGAAGGTGAGGCATTATTTTTGGTGAGAGCAGCGGACAACTACCTGGAGTGCGGCTGAGGGGATCTTCATGTCAGGCATGAAATGAAGTGAGGAAAAGTGGTTTTGCTTATGCTGGGTATAAGAATGCAATCTTGACACACTGCTACCAGTACACCTAGGAGTTCAAAGAGGGATTCAGGGAGTGTGAATATGCAGCAGTTAATAACAGATGATTACCTTGGGTGAACTGAAGAAGGTAAAAGATGGAGTTATCTGAATTTTAGCATTGTAGGAATTTGATTGTGTAACTTCTGCATTTTGCTACAAATCCATGAAACAATTTTTCCTTACCATTAGCCTGAGCACTGCTGTGTCTGTTACTGAAGGCCAAGCTGCTTCAGCGTTTTTGTGACTAATACAGTAAAGTTGATTCAAAGAGGCACATACTCAATTAAAGAGTTTGTCAAGCAGTCTGATATGATCAGAACAAAGGCTCTTTTTTCATATCCAGACTCTTGTCTCTTCAAAATTCACAGGGATGATCATCATATATCCTGACAACAGTGCTGCAGTTCTCTCTAGTGTAAGATGTGTTGTATTTTGCGAAGCTTGTTGAGGGGCACCAATACTGAGCTGGGAAAAAAATGCCAAAACAGTCGGAGAAATAATAGATTTTTTTTCCCTGAACTAATCAGAAACGCAAACCTGTGGGAGAAAAAAAAATTCAACAGGTTTGGTAGAACATGTAAATAGCTTTGCTAGAGTCAACCAGAAAAAAATTGTTTGCAGTTTTACAGATTATTTAATTCCTTTCTATGTTTTTTTAACTTTATTATTTTACCTTTTAAAATTAGCTTAATAGTTAAAAATATTATCTTTAAACAAAAGCAAAAGGTGAAATGTGGCTTAAAAGCATCAAAACAGTGTTTCAGCATGTCTGAAATAAAGCATTTAGTTTTGAAAACACTAATATAAACATATGATATCTTTTTTTTAGCAGTAAAAGCTCCTAAGAAGATTTGACCTAGATGCACAAATAGTTTTGGTCCCCTTAGAAACATCATTTCCCAACAGATTTGTAGTTTTACATCTGTTTTCTGGCTCTGTTTTAAAGCTAAGAAATTATTTTAGGAGTAGGTAATATCTTTTTAAGTTGATAATTATTAGTATCTTGTAGTTCATTACTACTTTCTGAAGAGGCAATATTGTACTCAGGTGATCATTTCAGAGACATGTAGAGGTAGATTAATGTTCCTGAGGATTTTAGCCACTGTGGTGCCAGGTGATGGTTGCATGAGTGAATACCAGAGCAGGATCAGGACACCACTGAACTGGCTGTTGGGGTGGAATTAAAGGAGGGCAGGTGGAAAGTGTTCTGTCACTATTCTCTTGAACTTACAAGAGAATTTGCTTTGGTTGTGTTCAAAACTCTTTTACATTTTTTTTATGCTGTCTTCCTTGTGCTTGAGCTTTACTGGTATGCAATGTGGATTTAGGGTCAAATGCTCACCAACTGCGAATTTTAAATTTGTTTACTTGAGAATTCACACAAGACTAGGAGCTACAGCTGTTTAACTGTGGAATAACATTGAACTACAATTAAGTAGCATAACTAAAATTTTGTAAGTCAGATAAACCAGTTGTAGAATAAATGGCATCTGCAAAAAGAACATTTAAACTAATAAATAGATCTGAGAATATGAGGATCTTCTTCCATGAATGGAAACTGTTCATGACTATTCAGGCCTTGGCAAGAGAGGGAGAGTAAATGGCAACATTTTCAGTTAATGCTCAGTGTCTGATGATTTTTACTGTCTGAGGCCAGTGAATCAGATTTATGGTACAACAGATGAATTGTTGAGTCACATTTATGAAACAGTAATACTGTTCATATGTCTGGCATGTTTTCTAGCCTTTCTGTTTAACTGCACTGTAAGTCCATGTTTTATATGCACAGCCTTATGCTGCACATATTTCTGTTTAACAGGTTTGCCTGTTTGCCCAGAGCTGA